TCTGGATTCAGCTTGGATCAAGTTGATTAAGGGAAGGAGCGCTGGGGGCACAGCGTTTGAACATCACACTGTGAAGCAAAAGGTTGGGGGCTGAAACCCACCAGTTGCTGCTCCAAAGAAAGATCAGGCAGCCTGCTTCCATCAGGATTTATAGCCTTGGACATCCTACCTATAGGGAAGCTCTACTTGGCCTCCTGGTTCTAATGAGTCATAATCAATTGAAGGCAGCAGATGTTGGTTTGGTTTTCCAGTGCTGGCTTTGAGTGCCAGAGTGACTTGAGGGACACTCGAACAGGGTTACTTTTATCTTCTGTGGTGAGAATAGACAAGGGTGTACGAGAGTGGCTGCAGGGAGCCTAGCAAAGTCAGTGAAGTAGCCCAGGTGAGAGAGGATGGGCTTGGACCAGAGGGTTAGCAGTGACAGTGGTAAGAAATAGTTTGTGGACTCTGAAAGCATTTGCTGGGGAGTTGGTACCTGCAGAGTGTGAGGGGAAAGTACAGAGATATTTATTGGGAACAAGGGCTGCCCTTAATGGGGAGAGGGGCAGCATGGGAGGAGCAGACTCCTGAGCAGGCCTCAGGTTTGAAGCCAGTTGGGCTATCTTGAAAGGAACTGCTTTTTATCTTGACATGAGACATTGCGAGAGCTAACCATCAGAGAGAAGGTGAGACCTACAGGCAAGTGGACAACGCTAAATCACAGTCCCTTTATGTATAAGCACTATAGGTATTCACAGCCCGTTTTAATGTGCCAGGGAAACATAGAGAACTGGGACATCTTTCACCTGCATGGCTCAGTTTCCAGGCCAACAGACTCATAAGGGGAACAATAACACTTGTGAGGTACTGAGACTTTTGAGGATCGGAAGGGCAGTATTTACACAAGGCCAAAGTTCTGAGGGTTCGTAGAGAAGGAGGTGGAATACATAAAGGTACACTGAGGGGATTGCAATGAATAAGATGAAACAAAAAGGGCACGATGTCGAACAGATGATCTGCTCTGTAAACCTGTCCCTAACTCACAATAAAAAGGGACATTGTTGAAAGTATCTTTCCTGTCCTGAAGAAACTCATACTCTATTGGGAGAAAAAAAATGTAAACCAGCAATTCCAGCACCGTTCTCCATTGTAGGTAAGTCTTTTGGTATGTACTTAGCCCCACAGAGAGTGTGATAAAGAAGCAGGCTGTTTGTACAAAGTTCGACAGGAACAAACAAGAAAACTTCCCCAAGATTCATCAGGACATTCCCTGGGGGTTTCATTCCAGTGTGGTCGGCATAGCGGAGTTGACAGCAACCTTGCTGCCCATCAATGTGGATCTGTCCAAGGACAAAGCGTGGAATTGTCAGTCTCGGTGTACAGCCGGCCATTGAAGAGAGGCTCTAAAACACAGCGTTGGCTGAGAAAAGTGGGAAACAGAGATGAACAGTCCAATAACGCTCTTGTCAGTGTAAAAGGCAGGCCCCAAACACTACAGGCCTTAAGTGATCACATCTCATGGCAAGCAAATGATAGTGGGTGCCTAGAAGAATGCAAGTGGGCATTGAGAGAGAAGAGGAAACATAATAGAAAATCACTTCGACATGAAAGGGGCCTGGAAGGCCTCCTGATGACATTGTCTTGAGACGTGAGGCACAAAATTAACTCCACTCTCTGCAGCTGAGGGACAATGACCAGCTCAGAATAATTTAGCTGGTGGTGCTCAGGGGACATTATTGCTGGTGGGACATGAAGCATGTGGCTGGTAGGAAAGGTAGCTGTGAAGGGCTGACATCTGGAAAGCGCTGGACAAATGGAACAAGCTGCTACAAGTGGACAGGATGATTGTGCTGATCTTCATTAGGGTCAGGTGACTGCTATGCTCCAGTCCAGCCTATGGTGAGATTTTCTCCCTGGAGTCTTTATCTCTTCTCTCTTGTTCGAGCGGTCCTTCCTGTTTCCTGTGGCCTCCGGAGTGTGATCTCTGAGCTGCTGCTCTAAAGTTAGAACCCCACCCAGCATGCATCCAGATGCTCTGGCTCAAAGCGGGGTTGGAAGGGAGGCGGTGCTGCCAACCATGCCTCTCATTCTTGGCCATCTCTCTGGTGTAGTTCACCCCACTTCCCCCATCTGCCAGTTAACTCTTACCCCCTCACATTCCTGCTGGACTCATTTCCCCTTCTTTGACCTTGCCCTTTTTGCTGCAGACCATGTCCCACCACTGTCGAAGCACTCATTCTTCATAGCCCACATCACAGTTGCAGCCACACATCTGCTTTTCTAATAATTTGATTTATATCCATCAGCAGCAAAGCATTCGACCACCACCTACAATGCTGGTGGCTCAAATCCACCCAGATGTACCATGGAGAAATGGCCTGGCAATCTTCTGAAAGGTCACAACCTTGAAAAGTCTATGGAGCATGGTTCTCCTCTGCAGCGTATGGGGTCACCATGAATTGGAATCAACTCCTCAGTAGCCACGGCCTTGGTGTTTGCTTTTTCATACTCTAGAGTTCAAGCTCTATGTGGGCAGTTTTGTTTTTGTTATTGCTCACCAATGTATTGCCAGTACACAGATGTCGTTGTGGTGAGGTGCCTCACAGTAGGTGCGATCAACTCATAGCAACCCCGTGTGATCACGTAGAACAGGCTCACTCCTTTTCTCGTCTGTCACCATCACGGGACCAGATCACCAGCTGGTTCCTGAAATACGGAAGTGCAAGTAGCTCTGAACCAGCAACCTTTTGGTTAGTAGCACCTTTGGCACATCATTGTGAATGAGGGGGAGTGCGGGGTGGAGACCCAAAGCCCATCTGTAGGCAATGGGACATCCCGTTACGGAAGAGTCGCGGGAAGGAGAGGAGCCAGTCAGGGTGCAGCGTAGCAACGATGAAACATACAACTTTCCTCTAGTTCCTAAATGCTTCCTCCCCCACTCACCCCCCATCCACTACCATGATCCCAATTCTACCTTACACATCCAGAGGATGTACACTGGTACAGATAGGAACTGGAAACACAGGGAATCCAGGGCGGATGATCCCTTCAGGACCAGTGGTGAGAGTGGCGATACCAGGAGGGTCAAGGGAAGGTGGGGTGGAAAGGGGGAACCGATTACAAGGATCTACGACGTATAACCTCTTCTCTGGGGGACGGACAACAGAAACATGGGTGAAGGGAGACATCGGACAGTGAAAGATATGACAAAATAATAATTTATAAATATCAATGGTTCATGAGGGAGGGGATAGTGGGGAGGGAGGGTAAAAATGAGGAGCTGATGCCAGGGGCGTAAGTGGAGAGCAAATGTTTTGAGAATAATGACGGCAATGAATGTACAAATGTGCTTTACACAATTGATGTAAGTATGGATTGTGATAAGAGTTGTATAAGCCCCTAATAAAATGATTAAAAAAAAGAAAAAAAAGTGAGTGATCACGAATGGCTGTTTTCAATAAAACTTTATTAAAAAGCAAAAAAAAAAAAAGAAGGCTAAAAAATTGATGCTTTTGAATTACGGTGTTGGTGAAGACTACTGAAAAGTACCATGGACTGTCAGAAGAACAAACCAATCTGTCTTGGAAGAGGTACAGCCAGATGTTCCTTAGAGGCGAGAGGCGAGGATGGCAAGACTTTTCGCTAACTTTGGATATGTACTCAAGAGAGCGCCGTCAGTCCCTGGAGAAGGACATCATGATCCTTGCTCGATGAACTGAGACAAGTGTGTGCAAGAATAGGCTCAAGCATAGGAATGCTTGTGAGGATGGCACAGGACTAGACAGCTTTTGTTCTGTGGTTCAGAAGGTCACTATGAGTGGAGCTGACTCCAGGGCACCAAATCAGAGGCACTCAAGAAACTTTTCCATTGAATCCCAGTGCTCCAAAGGGAACCTTGCCCAGAAGGATGGAGACACAGGGATGAGAAAAGGTCGACTTTTGTTCTGCTGCAGAGAGCAAAGGCGGTAAGTTGTAAGAAAACAGATCCTGTAGGACCCCTGCAGAAAGAGCGCTCACCTGCCCTCTTGGCCAACGTGGGCATAGAGTATGGGGCAGAAACGAGCTGTCTAGAAAATAGCCGTTTTCTCTTTCTTCAGAAGTATGTCAAACTAAAGTAGGAAACGTAATTGAGGGGAAGGGTACATGTGGGTCCGTGCTGGGTTGGAGGGCAAAAGCTAAAATGTGCTGGTTGGAGGTGACTTGAGGAACAGTGGCAACTGATGTGACCATTAGAAAGGAAGCCCCCCGCCTCATGCCGTTTCAGACAGAATAGGCGATGCATCCCAATGGAATTTCCCATTATTCTTGTGCCCACTCCACCTCCTGCTCAAGAAGCCTCTGCACCGCTTAAAAACAAAAAAAGGAAGAAAAGGGCGAAGCACAATAAAGCAGCGTCTCGCCCCCTGGGCCGGGGGACTGCGAAGCGGCTAGCGCTCACCGGGGTCAATTCCCACGCTTCCAGCCCGCCCCGCCCCGGCCTCAGCGCCCAGGCCCGCGCGCCCAGGCGAAGCCCGCCTTCCCGCGCCCCGTCCTCCCCTGCGCAGACGCCAAGCCCGCGCAGCCAACGTCGGTCCCGGCGCAGGGACGGGCGCCG